CAACATGCACGAAGCATGGGAGAACCATGGTCATTGGAGACTACAGCGTCGAATTACCACATTCCGTGTGGTTTGTACGGCGACGCCGCACGGCTTTCAACTGTGTATGCTGCCGAGAAGATAGTTGGAGTGTTCCTAAACCTCCCGCTTTTTCGACCGAAGTCTGTGCGGGCTTCACGGTGTCTTTTGTGGAGTTGCAGTGCCTTTAAGGTCTATTCCAACAGAACATTCAACAAGGTGTTTCGAGTTCTTTGCTGGTCGCTGAACTTTGCATACCAGGGCATCTACCCGACACACACCTTACAAGGAACACCACTTGGTACACCCGAAGCTGGAAAGGCCCTAACCTCGGACAACCTTTCCTTCGCAGTAACAGAACTTCGGGGGGACTGGAGTGGCACAAGCTGGTCTGGAGATTCAAGAATTGCAACTGGAAAGCAAGAACCCCATGTTTCCGATGTCCTTGTCTTGCCTCATCGCCAAACAACCCGGGCTTGCTATACCATACAGTGGATGAAAGTGCTGCCTCATAGAGTTGTCTCAACAACTGTTTTTTTCTTCTCATTTGGAGCCTTTGCAAGGTTTGCAAAAATGATCCAATATGTACTTGTTGTATGTACTTCTCATGCAAGCACACTCTTCAAACAAGGAATGGCTGGACCAAGAGTTTTCCAAGGAGCAGTTCATTGCGCAAAGGCTGAAGGACAAGAACATTTGCAACTTGCAAGCACTAAGGGCGGGCGTCTTGCCCTGCTACACTTGCACATTCTTGAACATTGATAGATGCATGCGTACAAAAGCCGTGTGCGCGATTCTTGTCCACCCAAGAGCAATGAGTAAGGTCCCTTGCTGATGCTTGAAGGATTTCATCCTGGAATCATCAGGATTTGCTCCATGCATACCTTGAACTTGGGACTTTTCTTTGCATCGAACGGAGCCTCCTTGACCCCATGGCTACAATTTGAAGTGGCTTTCATATGTTTTTTGTACCCACTCCAATGGCCCTCCTTTGTGCAGCTGAGGTGCATTTAAATCATCCAACATCCACATCGGACATTGACATGGATTGTGTGTCCAGGTTCTTTGGGGGTTACCAGTCTTATTCAATACTACTCTGGACACACAATCCACGTCAAGGCCTATAGTGCAGGGTCCTGCAAAGCAACATTGCGGTCATGACAGCTGAGGAAAATGCTTTGCAGGGAGCTCCTATGGTGGGGACCAGGAGATTACCAATCTCAATTGGATGAGGCCTATAGAGCCTTCAAGGCCTACTGCCTTGCTCGCAAAATCTCACATAGCCAACCGGCTTTCACGGTGAAGCTGGACCCTTGGCCTGTAAGTTTCGACACGTTGTTCAACATGGTTGTGCACAAGAATGCTCTGTCTTATCTGTCTTGGGATGGTGGTTTTGGGATCCTGGTTGGCTAGGTGGAGAAGAAAAACCGCGAAGTGTTGATGACGGCGAAGGCTTACAATGGAAGAGTGATCCTTTCTTGGCTTGCCTTTGAATTGAAGAATGCGGCTGGTCAACTTCGCTTTGCTGACAACGAGCGCCTCACATGCGCTTCGGTGGCAATGACCCTCAGCTGACTTAGCTTCTATTGAAAAGCTACCAACACACATACCCTGCAGGACACTCTTTGCAGCCCTAGTCCTGTGCAATCTCAGGACTTCCATGGCGAGGTTCATGTGGCTGGCTGAGCGCCATGGCCGCTTTTTGATACTTGGCGCACAACATGTCAAAGTTTGGGACGGTGGTTGGGAAAAGGGAACAGGATATATCATCTCCGCCTTAACGCATCGCTGGTGAAACCTCACTCAAAGTTGGATTCTTGGGTGGCAAGCGTGGTTCATACGCTGCAGTACTATGATTGGATGTCCAGGTGTGGACAAGGCCACTTCTCAAAGCTAAACTATGTATGTATCTACCTTGCTTGGTGGCTTGATGGGATTTAGCCTTCTGCTAACTATTTTCCAAATTTCCTATCTAATCTAATCTATCTAAACTGATCAGCATAGAAGAGTGCTGAGGGCGTGAGGGCAGAGAAACATATAAATAAATAGAGTTCTTTTGTCCAGAGGATGGGCTGCAGTGCTGTTGATCAAATAGATCTCTGAGGCCACAAAATGTGGCAGAAGAGATGTTCCTGGAGGGCATGCAGTACCTGGAGATGTACAAAGTTCTCCAGATCTTGTCAGTGAGGACTGTGTGTTTTGGACATACGCACCATGTGGGCCTTTGAGTTGTGCATTTGCACGTCATCCCTTTGCATTCAACCTAGAATATGTTTACTGTGGTAGGATGGGGCTGCATGAATGGCTCGTCAAGCCGAAGCACCATGTACCTTGCCTGCGTTTCATCCCATTCAGAACACCAGCCGTTGGTCTGATCTGAGATTGGCTGCCCACATTAAAAAAAAACGTCTAACAAGGCTATACAACACTTCCAAACTATAAAACAACTATGCTTTGGAAGGGGATGTTGTCCATTGTTTGAGCCAGTCATTGCTTCGCTGCACTGCTGATGGCAACTAAGATGTTTGGCCACATTCTGCATGACATAAAGCGGTACAGTTTCTTGGCTTCAGGGACACGTTTCGTTGGCTGCTGGGAGGGAAGGGCTGGAATCAACTTGTTTCTGCACTACTTCCCTTTGTCATTGAGCCCAAAGGACCCTTTCTTATGTTTTTGCTAGGGCCTTTACTGTAATTGGGCGTAATGAGATTAGAACATGTTCAACACGTATTGTGTGTGGCTTGCTCCCAAAGCTAGAGATCAATAACTTTTTGGTACTCAATTGCTCAATAACAATAAATTGGAGCTCTGTGGAATTCTGTGGACAGTGTTCCTCTTTTGAGATTCAAGTGTTGATCACGAAGCTTCGGTATCCATTGTGTGGGATATCGAAATGACACGTGCAGCTTTCTTGTGAAATGCATGCTGAGGGTGCAACTGCAGATTCACTCATTGCTTCATTGATGAGGATGGCATGAAGTGGTTGAAGGGAACTTTGGTTGCGTTGCTTTTCGCTTCCTGTTGACCCTGCATGTGCATGTTACCTCTTCATTTGAACCCTTGTGATTGGAATCAACCGGTGTAAGGAGTTGCGAATGCTTCGAACTTCAAGAACCGCTCTCGATGGGTGCTTCGCTGCACCAAACTGCGTTTGATGGGCATGAAGAGGCGATTGCCCATGCCCCTTGTTTTATATAGTTTATTCATTTTGGAGTGTATGTCTTTGTGCTCACATGTACTTTGTAGTGGAACTTTGGTGAATCTGTTGGAACCATGTTGATTTGGTTGAAAAGGTTTGGACCATGGGAGAGATGTGGAACCTCAATCTGAGGCTGATGCGGAGTTCGAGGATGCGGCGATGATCGATCGCATGGCTCCCCCAGGGAGTGTGAAAAAAGTGCGTGGGTGGGGGTCAGAAACCAGCATGCGTGAAATGTCTGTTGTTATAACGGCCTTTGTTTTAATGTCTGTTAGACTTGTAGGGTATATATATTGATCATATGTCACAAGACAGAAATGTATAAATCTAGATCAAGACAGAACTCGTCAGAGAAAAGCAACCTCTATGCACCTATGTCGCCTATATGTCGGGCATCGTTTGTTGGGTGCACGCAGACACCATTTGTGTGTACAATAGTGTTAATAGATATAACAGGGATGTGAAATTCTAAAGGCTCAGGCTTCTGAGGACCTCCTCCGGTCGACTAGAGGAGCTCAGGTCAAGGTCTGTAGCCAAAACCCTATGGTCGGACGATTCCACCGGGGGGGCGATCGTGCCACCAGAACGGCGTGTGGATGCCGAACGACGCAGGTGCTGAGGCGACGGAAGAGTTGTCAATATGATCGCCTTGAGACTGGAAACGTGGAATCGGTGGAGCATGAGGTTCCCTGACAGCGCGGAGTCAGGGCGCTGAGTCCCAGAATTGTTGGCTCCTGCGTTTGTTTTGGTGTTGGAAAGACATTTACAGGAAAATGCTTGGATGCGATAGCATGCAACAGCATGAAAAAAAGGAAGAGGAGACTGGGTGCCATTTCTCCTCATATTTAATGATCTAGGCTGCAGTTTGGACCTGCACCGTTGTTGTAGAATTATGCTGTTTTTGTTCAAGCCAAATGGTTTTGGAACAGAGGCAAGCCAGTCTCACCGGCACACTTCATGAAGAAGCCAAAAAGAGCTGGAACATGCTGGGACCCGGTGATTTGCGGTGCCATGTCGTCTTTTTTCAACCTCTGGTTCGAACAACCCCAGTGTGCAAAGACCGTTGGTCTTCCACGGCGAGTGAACTTGTGAACTGGTGACGCGTCTTCCGCAAAGAACTTCGCAAGCGTCGTGTTTCGGTGAAGGCGATCGTGACGTGTTTCTTTGGTTTTGGCGAAGCTGTGGATGGATCGATCTGAACAGAGATTGGAGGCTCAAAAGGCTCTTCTTGTTGTTCCCTGGCCAATTTGACTGACTGCCAGTCTTTCCAGGAGAAAGCGAAAGAGCTGCAGGATCAGTTGAACCCGAAGCTAAAGGAGGCGGACAGCTTCCGATTTCCAAGCTTACGGTGTTTGGGTGATTCCATCACTGCGTCCTATCTATCCAAGGCAATCGTATTTCTTGAGGCAACATCGCTACAATATATGGCCACCATCTGCTCTGACAAGGGAAGGTGCTAGATAGTCAGGTTTCTCAAGGATGAGTGACATGCGGCCCTTTTTTACTGCTGCAAAGTATAGGATAACGTTCAGCAGTTTTCTCCCAAAACGCTGGAGGCAAGCAGATCATCATTGTGGCCATTTCCAGAGTTATAGAATTATAGAAAACAGTAAGTAGAGACATGTGCATTTCAGAAAATGTATTTATATTATATCAAACATATACAGCATGTAATCATTTAAAAAAATACATATCTATATACTGGCTTGCTGTGTTTTCTTTTTTGGTGCTTCTATCTCCATTGCGTGACCTCTACTGGAACGCGCCATATGTATGTGCTGAGCGTCCGGTGGTAGGCGGGGGAGAATGCCCGGAAGTCGCTCATGGGCGCGGCGCAGTGGCTTGGTCAGCCGGGCGGGCGGAGGGTCTTTCAGACGGTTTTGATCTTCGTTTTCGGAGATGACAGCGATGGGTGGATCCCCCAGCGATGGGGGGACATCAGATGGATGGATGGATGCATTTTGTGTTCCTTGTCGCGGTTGCACAGCCAATCCAAGGTGGGGTGCCAAGACCGCCATTTGGTGTCTTGGAACCAAAAACGACGAACCGCACGTGACGTGCCTCGTTCTGCGGGAGACGCTTTGAGGAACTCGGCTTTGAGGTCCTGGTTTCCATTAAGTAAACTAGTAAACCACAAGGCTCAAGTGGTCCCTGCAGGCTCAGAAATATAGGTGAGTGCAAGTCTTGTCATGACTGAGATTGAGCATTTCAGTAAGTGGTTCCGCAGAGAAGCACATTGACTTGTGTCCAATGCAAGATTGAAGACAATTGAAACCGATCGACGATCGACCTTTCCGCTAGGTGGTCATCATTTTGTTTTTCTTGAGGATGTTGTGGAAGAAGGACATGTATGAATTTTCCCCAACAATTATGTTCATACCAATCAGATAATGATAGTAAATATATATATAGTTATAATATATAATATGTAAATGGATATTCGATTACATAATAGTAGACGCAACATCAATCAACATAATAGTATTAAATCGTCAAGGTATTTGTACATCTCGGCTCCTTTATATATCGCCTTCCAAAAACGATGTCTCGCTTCTTCTGCATGAGGTTTCAGTCTTTTGGTTCCGGTCAGCATGTGGACAGCGACGAGGAGAGGATTCTCGCCCGGTCCGCACCTTCTGGATTTGTCGAATTAGTTCATATAGTGGTCCAGGTCCGTGGTCCCCAAAGAGGTAGAACGTAGATCCCCACTAAGAATATATTGGAAAGCGTGCCGCTTTCTATTTGGGGACCACTATACTATGTATCATAGATTAAGCGAGATTACAAACAAATGGAAGTCAATGGAACCCGACAAGTGGTCCAAGGAGTCTCTGCGGGTGCCCCACATTGGGGCGGATGCCTCGACCACCGTTGGTCGATTTGTACAGAGGGATGCTCCTTTCAAGATCGATTAAGACAAATTCCAGTTTGGCGGAAAGAGTGTTGGGGGTGGAAACGTTTGTCTGTTGGGGAAACCGTTGGGTTGTTTGTTGAGAGACTGTACCAGTGGTGGGGTACAGCTTTAGCCTTTGAAGTGGAGGAAGACTTTCTTGCAGATTCATCCCCTGTCTTGCGGTTTGGTTGTTTTAATTTGCAGGACAGGTGGGGTAGGTGTTCTTGAGCCAGCTCCCTAGTGTAGCTGAAGCACGACTTCGACATCATTGAGGAGTAGGCAACATTCTTCACTGCAGGTCCAACCAGTAGGCCCTTTTGGGATGAGGGTTCCTATACGGACCTGGCAAACAAATTTGCTCCTTCAGCACGCACATGGCATGGGTTTTTGTTGTTCCATTAGTAGCGATGACCTTGTTGCTGGTAGCCTCTAGCTACTAGTCTGCCCTTCTTGCTAGTAGCGCGGCGATGCCCTTGTAGCTTCTATCTACTAGTAGTAATGCCCTTGTTACCACTAGCGATGCCCTTGTTTTGATCTTGAACCCTCACCGCACTGATCAGAAACCACACTCAGCCAGACCAGGAGACTGGAGCTCAGGCCTCTTTTTGTTGCCGCCTGCAGTGGGAATTTGGGCGCGACACAGGTGTCCCGGACAGAACAGCACCTGCACCCACCGGCCGCTTCATCGGTGCGAAAGACATCAGGGTCCATCGGTTCGGGTCCAGCGACCCCCACAAAGAAAAGGCGGCTCGACCGGTGGTCTGAAGAGTCGCTAGAGCTGGAAGGCTCCACCGAGCTGTTTTCGGAGAGGTTTCTGGGTGCCTAGGACCTTAAGCCCGGTGTAGCTATTCCGAGGGTGACTTTCAGCAAAAGAATGACATGTTTGTGCTTTGAGGTCGTTGTTGACGTTCCAGCGGGCAACAACATGCCAGAAACCATCTCAGCCCCAAGATCCCCGAAGGTGACGATGAATTTAAATGCCTTTGACGACGTCATCTTGCATAAGTGCGTTTCTTTCCAAATCAGGTGTTTTCAACGAGGAGCCGTAATTTGCAAACTGCAAAGCTCAAACAGGTCTACATGTAAAACAATAGAGAATTTCTGGGGTTTCAAAAAGGCGGAACTTCCCGGCATTCGGGCGGATTTACCCGAACACCCTGTTTTGTAATAATATTGTAATCATTATTCATGACTCTTTTTGGCACTGATGTGTTTTACACATTCTTAATTTCTGCAACTGCCTTCGGGCAGAAATTTCTACCTCAGGCGGAAATCTGAGGTTCGGGCAGAAAAAACAGCCTGAAACCATTCAGGCAGAAATAACTGCCTAGGATATATGCCGATCAGGCCAGGGCTGGTTTTTTGGGGTGATCGGCATATATGGCATACATGGAGTGTTTGGGAAAAGAACTCTGTAAAACAACATGAGCGTCGAAAGGTCCTTCTATATATACCCTGGAAAAAGGCATGACCTTTTTCCAGCATCCTGCCGTCTGATGAAGATGAACCGATCCGCAGATTCGATCTACCCCATGATGACCGACCCACAGCATTGTTTGTTTACCTCGGACCTCAAACAGATGCAGACGATCGTATGCAAACCATTGCTTGCTGGCGAGAGGCAGAGATGCCATGGTCGAGCATTCGTGCTGGGGACGGGGAGGGCATGGGAGGTCGGTCGAGCTGCCGTCTCGAGACCGAGAAAGACAGGGATCTTAGGGTGAGAGTTGAACAGGTGCTACGGTAATTATTTGTGTGTTTTTGGTGTGTGTGTGTGTTTGTGCATTTCAAAAGAGAATGTGTAGAAACCAGTGTATGTTTCTTCTAGGATCTTCTAGGCAATGCTACTGAAATGTTCTGGGATGCGTTGAAAAAGGATTTGTGCTGTTGTTTCAAGATCTTTCAAAGAATCTGTAGAGGGCAGGGACCATTTCTGCACATGGATGAGACCAAGAGTAGACCTGAGGTATCTCCATGGTATCCATTTGCCTGAGAGGACACTTGCGTGTGCAAGTCCTTGGTGATCATGCAGAAGGAGGAGTTCATGGACAGTGAAATTGCCACCCTGCCGAAGTTTAGTTTTGCTTTCCTCTCTCTCTCTCTCAGTCTACGGGAGTTGATCTACGGGGCGGTTTAAGAGGTTCTATACCAAACGACCTTTTAAATGCTGTCCAAACCGTCCGCGAAAGATCTGCGACGAGGTCCGCCAAAGGGATGTTTTTCACGATTGATCGATGGTCTTCATGGAAATGAAAGATCTGCGCCTTTGGCAGGGCTGGTTTTCACGGAAGTCTCCTCACATGTCCCCCGATCTCCTCGACAAACAAGGGCTGACGGATGGATCGCAGCCCTTGAGGCAACGATCCGCAGGGGTGTTGAGCCCCCCCCACCTTCCCTCAACTGAACTACCCTGTGCTGGCACAAGGGTTGGATTGACTTGTGCCTGGCTCTATTCTATCCTCGACATTCCTCAAGGCTTGTGGCGCAGATGCTGCAAGTGACCCTAGAGCAGCTGTAGCAACTCTCAACGTTGTGTGTTGGTGATGCTGCAAGATGCCAGTCAATATTGCGAATATATAAGTTCCAACACGTGTTAACTAGACATGGCTTCAGGACTATGCTTCGCGACGAGGCCGCAAAGGATCCAGGGAATATTTCTGTCCACAAAGCAACCCCATTTCATAATGAAAAACAATCGCCACCCGGATTTGTATTTATATCATATATATAATATAGTATATTATATGCATAACATTTTTGTGTGTTTCTTTGTCAACATGTTTTTAAATGTATTTTTTTTGCATCAGCGTAGGCAACGTGAACGCCTTGGGTTAGGGAACAACCCTCCTACGCTGTTGGACTCGAGACATGGCCATGGCCACCTTGAAATGACAAGAAATGCCGAATTGTTTCGTCACTCACAGAAAGACGTGTTTTTTCGAGCCGACTCGCGTGACGCCTCCTTCCTTAAGCATGTCGTTCGCAGCAATGGCCATCCGAACTCACTTCGGAACAGTCGATTGGTCTCTCAGACAAAGACTCCATCGAGACATATCGAGACTCCAAGGAGACTCCCCCGACCTTGGATTCTGACAAGACAGGAAACTCATGTGTTTATCCTGTTCGTGAGCAGAGTGAGCTTGTCAGGTGCGCCGTGTGCAAGAGGGCGAGGAGCTTGAGATTTTGGGCACGGAGCCCACAGGTCGTTGGGAAAACTGCCGTTGGTTTTTGAAATCTGAGTGTTTGGGAGACTCTTCCGTCCATTTTTTGGAATAATATGGGGCCGGGCAAGATGTTGAAACTGCGTCAACCTGGAATGTTTTAACCTGACCCGGTGAGGCTTTTGCATGTTGAATGTGCAAAAACTGTTGACTTCAACACGGAACACGTACTGGACGCATGGGTGTTGCGTTGGGGCTTTGCGGCTATGCCAGGACAACGTTTCATGGCGAAAGACAGCCAGGCAAGGCCAGCAAGGCTTTCGTTGTTTCTCGCTCAAATGGCCATTGTTGGAGAGCAACCTTTAGCTGCAGCTCGTTCGACTGTCATTCGGGCCATTCCTCAGAGTTCTCTTTGACTCGTCAGGGGAACAAAGGATGGATCAGCGCTTTCAGCAAAGAAGGGACTCCGTTGCTGGACGTCACCAAGCGTCTGAAGCCTCAGAGAAAGGCGTCCTGGTCGTCAAATCACTGAGAATCTAATGACCAACCAGTCAAGGCTGTCCTTCTTGCTGCTTGGGAGAGAGGTGTGGCCACACATGAAGGTCTCACAGCGCCTGCTGACTTGTGATCGATCTGGTCGACCCAGAAGATCTCTGGTTGGCCGTCTGAGTGAGCAGTAGACAAGCTTATCCGACCAATGATTGGTCGGATGTGAAGTACGGCATTCACATGCTCAGGTGGCCAGTTGAAGGCATCCCCACACTGTCCTTTGATAGGTTTGTTGCTCTCTAACACTTTCCATTTCCATTTTAGCAAGCTACTGTATATCAAGCTATCAGCAGTATGTCGCATGAAGAGAGGTGCGACCTGCTCAAGAGTCTCACCACATGATTTCAACAATTCTAAGTCGACTTTGCAGCCATTGGCAGCCACACACCAAGTCTGGTCCCATGCAAGTTCTCAGACTTTCAAGAGCCCAAGGGAGGATGAGGCCAAGTTGGGTACGGAACATTCCTAAGTCGTTGGGTGACTCAACCGCTTCTATTCGCAAAGAACTTTCCCAAGCACTCCTCAGAGTGAACCTCTACTTGCCACCAAAGATCTATGATGATCAAAATGCATGACACCAAACGATGCCCTGACAGGTTGGATCCTTGTGTTCAATATGCTTGGACTCCAGGATTGACCCAGCTGATCAAATATGTTGAGTGACCGAGGCCCCGCTGGCGTTCCCAGTGCCTACTCCTCAGCGCTTAGGAGACGTTTGATGCATCTGGCTCCTGAAAGAATGGTAAGATAGACCAATTGCATCCAAACAAAACGGGTCCATCAGTACATAGGTAAAGATGGATTCGACATGATGTGTTTTCTGTCGTTTGATCAGGAAAGGTCGCAGCAGACTTCTTTAGGGGGACAGTAAGACAAGATGTAAAGACATTGAAGTCTTTGTTTGCCGTCTTACTAGCTTACTTTGTTACTAGTAGCGATGCACTTGTTACTAAGTCCAAGTGGCCTCCTGAAGCAGCCGAAAGCTACACGACTGACCTGAGGCTGCCGGATCCTCCTCTGCGTCCTCCTCCGCAGGAGGGACCCCGATGGACAGACCCTGAGGTTGAGGAGTGGTTCCGCAAGTCGCGGAACGCACCCTGCGAAGGCTGTTCAGCAAGAATTTGAAGGGTACAGAATCCGTACATAATGGTCTTATATGTTTTTGTTACTGCCTGTACAATCAAGGCTGCTTTGGGTTGTGCAAACGCCTATTAGTTGTGCCTTGAAGCACATTTACATGGGAACATGTTTAATGCTGAAGTCCAGGCGACTTGAAAACGGCGACTTGAAAACCGACCAGTTCCTTTGGACTGGGCAAGCCCCACTGCTCAACTCTTGCGACTGCGCAGCGCAACACTCGGGCGGCATGCGCAACCTTCGCCAAGCCAACGGCCAAGAGCCGACGAGTTCGTAGCCGGTGGTTCCGGCCCATAGAGCTCTATTAGTAGAGTTCATATTGCCTAAGAGATGCTCAATGTGTGGCGGTGGCTTTGTTTTTGGTGCTGGCTTCTTGTATTTAGATGGCTGCATTTATGGGATCTTGGGTAGTCTCATAACGTTGCAACGTTGCAACTTGCCTAGTCTCACGTTTGGCTGACTGATTAATGTTATATGTTGAGTGCAAAATTGAACGAACAACGCGTTAGTTATAGTATATAGCAAGCTACAGGTACAATCAACATCTGAGGCAGGGTAGCTTGATGCTAAGATTCAGTTCAACTTGAGCACATGCTTGTTCTGTATATTCTTGCCCTGTCAGCTCAAAATGAGGATGAAGGACCTCGAGATACCACAAGCTATTTAAAGAACAATATGACAATATCCCATAAAACCTTTTGGACCGGGATGTGCTGTGGGTGTTTTGTGTCACCTCGGGCCACTGATCATCAGTCCTAAGACACCCATTCTTCCAGTTTTTGAATTTAATGACCGCCCAACAGGAAAACGTTTGCAATTTTGCAAGAACGAATCTGGTAGGAGTTCCATGAAGTTGGGTGGTTTTTAGACCCATCCAGTGATTGGATGTGGATGTGGGCACCCTGACGGCACCCTCCATGGATATCACCCGGCTCCATGGAACTGATGGTGTCATTTATTCAGAACAGTTCCGGCCTTTCGAGGGGTGGGTACCCTCGAGCATTTCCTGGTGCCATTTCTAGTATCTTGCAGTGTCATGTGGATCACATGTTTCCAGGGGTGCCTGGTACTTGCGCACAGGCACCGAGTTTTGTACGGGATGGATCCTCCAGATGTTAATCATGACCCAGACACTCCATTTGCATATCATATTTACCTACATTGGGGTGGATTGAGGGGTCAATGGTCAATGTGGGCAAAATGTTAGGTAAATATTCCAGTCCCATATGGAGTGTTTGGATGATGGTTCGGGTCGCATCGGGGAAATATTTGCTGAGCACCGCAGGGATCGCCGATTTCCTTGCGCAGGCTACCCACTGGATGCTCCATCCGCATCCACGATGCAGGTGCGAGTGGCTTTCGTCGAGTTTGTACAGACGCCTACAGATGCCATGGTGGTGTCCTCAGCCTCCAAAAGTTTTCCCCACTTTGGGATATTGAATTGGAGATGAATCAATTTGGAGTCACTTGTGCAAGTGCACGACGTTCTGAGTGCTTTGAGAAGGGGCGAGACCACTGGCTTTTGGTTTACGGTTCAGGCGGATTTTACCATCACCCAGGTACCAAATTTCAAAAGAAGGGCACCCTCCAGCCATCTCCAATTACTCGATGTTGGTGTTCGTCTACTTTTCTTCTACCCAGCAGACCCTTTTGGCTGGGCATCCCCCTAGTCTTTCAATGGGGCTGCTGAATTGGTTTGTTTCTTTCCGAGTTGAAGTGTTGAACTTGAGGGCCCCGAGGGCCTTGAACCAGTGAACATGATGAACCAACAAACCAGAAGAACCTGTTTAGGAGGAGCTCTCAGTCGATTTGCAAAGGCAGTGACTATACACTGATATCAGTCGAGTGAGAGCCTCCTCTTGCTTGCATGTCAGTTTGCCAGGCCGAGGAGTCAGTTGTTCTTTGTTTTGAGGTCCTATCTTTGCAAGACAAAACATTGAAATTGTGACACCCCAAGGGATGGAACGATGAATTAGAAACGAGGTTGCCGTCCTGCATGCGTGTGCCTGCAAGGACACCAGTGCTACAGTAGCAAACGGCAGTTCGGATGGGACAATCAAAGCAGAAGCAGAGAAAGGCATTCAAGAGAAAGCTCAGAAGGAGGCTGAAGAGAAAGCCAAGAAGGAAGCAGCGGAGAAAGCTCAGAAGGAGGCCGAAGAGAAGGCAAAGAAGGAGGCAGAGCAAAGAGCTAAGAAAGAGGCTGAAGAGAAGGCAAAGAAGGAGGCAGAGGAAAAAGCTTTGAAAGAGGCTGAAGAGAAAGCCAAGAAGGAAGCAGCGGAGAAAGCCCAGAAAGAGGCGGAGGAGCAAGCGAAGAAGGAAGCTGAGGAGAAAGCCCAGAAAGAGGCGGAGGAGAAGGCAAAGAAGGAAGCTGAGGAGAAAGCCCAGAAAGAGGC